GCCTGTGGGGGGAGGAGCGCAGCGGCACCCCGGGGCCTGTGCCAAGGCCACGCCCCCAGGCTGCCCAGCAGGTTGTCTGTGTCAGGTGGGCTGGGCCGGCAGATGAATGAGCAACAACTGTATACTCGCTGACTTAGCAGCTTTCCTAGAACCTGGTCCCGGGGCCGGGACTGTGATCCCCAAATCTGCACGGGGTGGGGGGAGGGGAGGGCAGAGTCAGCGGGAAGCTGCCTCCTGCCCCTAACTGCCCGTGGTGGTGGCAACGCCAGGCCCTCGAGGGCCCAGAGCTGACAGGCTCCAGGTCTCCTGGGCCAGGGAGAGCGGCAGGCTTCGAGTGAGTGGGCGGAGGGCAGAGAGCATGTCCCACTTGGGAGGGACCCAAGCAGAGAGGGACCTGGAGCTCCCCACTGCGCAGGTTGCCTTTGACGCCTCCTCAGTTCCCAGCGTGGGACTCTTGAGGTCAGGGCACCCGGGAAGCACAGCCAGAGGGCTGCTTCTATGAAAGACACGGGAGCCTCGCCCTGCGGCCAGGGATGCAATAAGCAGCTGCTGAGAGGACTCCCAGGCTGCCGGGTGCCTGCCCCAGCCCCCTGCCCCTTGGCCAGAACCATCCCAGCACTGACACAGGCTGTTCTGGCTGACTCTGGCCTCCATGGGCTTGATCCTCAGTCCCTTCTCGTCCCCTTGGGGTCACAGCATCCCTCCAGAGCTAGGCCCAGGCTTCTGCCGAGGGACAGGCATGTGCCCCTGCCAGTGGGAGGGGCAGCATGAGCGGCAGCAGGGGAAGTCGGTCCTCACAGCCTGCCCAGTAGCTGAGAAGGTCACCTGCATGAAAGGCCTTCCTGTGAGCCCCGGAATTGTGGGGGTGGCTGCAGGCTCGCTAACCCGCTGGCCGCCGCGGGCAGGGGTGTTGCTGCACAGGTGCGGGCAGCCCAGGACTGCAAGGCCAGGACACACGGCGCCTGGGGCCTGGTGCTGTGCTCTGGAGCCGCTCCCTTTGCCGGCGTCTGTCCATCCTGCAGACATCAACGGCCCCGGGTGCCGCAGCTGCTGGGCGTTCTAGAGGAAGCCTCACCTGAACACAGGAGTTCTGGCCTCATTGGTGTCAGTTTAGGATGCCCTCAGTTTGAGGGGGCTCAGGTGTCCTGAGGACTGAGACTAGGTGGCCGGGGACGAGTGTTGTGGGGTGTATGTAAGGGGTCCGCCCTCAGGGACATGGTCCTAGGGTGGGCAGAGCCACCGAGGTCACCATGCCAGCGCCAGGCAGGCGATGTGCACCCCCAGAGACCCTGGTCCTTCCCAGCTCCAGCGGCAGGGCTGCTGCCGGGCCGGGCCATGCCGTGCGGCCTGAGCGCCGGGAGCCTGCTGAGCGGCTCTGCCTGAGGTCACCGCCTCAGTGTGTATTTTGAATATTTCAGCTGTATGTGCACTGCGGGGACTTGGCCCGTGCACTGCGTGTGCAGCTCATACTTGGTGGGCTGTGTAATGTGCGGAGGCGTTGCCAAGGGCAGCGGAAATGTGGACTTTTTCCAGGATAATCATGCGAATCCGACCACCACCCTCCCTGCACCTTCCCGGGCCTGTGCCTTCTCACCCCTGCCAGGAGCTGCCAGGAGCTGCTGGGTGGGAGGGGCACAAGGGCCAGTGCTTTGTCCCAACCAACCAGTTCTCGAGAGCAGCGAGGTGTCCAGGGGTGCATACCCCCCCAGGCTGTGTCCTCAAGTGTTAAACGGGTGCCCTTCTCCGTGCTGGCCGAGCCTGGGGAAGTGGGGTGGGGGCTGCTCTGGATGCCCTGCCTGGTGGTCCAGGGCAATCCTTAGGGTGGGGGGGGGGGTGAGGGGAGTGGGGCTCCAGGTGAGGAAGGTGGGGCCGGTGGCAAGTCCTCCTGTGAAGGGCCACGTCCTTGCCAGTGCAGGGAAGAGAAAGGCCTGGCCTCGCCCAGCCAGGTCTCAGAACATGTGGCCTCCCCAGCTCTGCTCCCGCCTGGCCCGCAGCCGAGGCCCCGGAGTCCGGTGGCTGGGGCTGCCAGAACGAAGCCCCACAGACGGGGCTCGAACGACAGACATTTATTGTCTCACAGGCCTAGAGGCTGGAAGCACTAGATCAAGGTGTCAGCAGGCCGAGCTCCTTCTGAGGCCTCTCTCCTGAGCTCGCAGGCGGCGCATTCTCGCTGTCTTCATGTGGCTGTTCCTCCGTGTGTGTCCCTGTCCCGATCTCCTCTTATGAGGACAGCAATAGCTCCATTTTAACGTAACCACCGCTTTAAAGACCCCCATCTCCAAATATGGTCACCTTCTGGGGCACTGGGGTTAGGACTGCCAACATGTGGATTTGGGCGTCACACTTCCGTGCATGACACCCACAGATGCTCAGGGCCTCGGATCAGTGCCAAGTTCTCCCTCGGCCCCAGCCAGAGGCGCCTTCTGCAGCATCCTCGTCGGCCACCCCTGCCCACCCTGGCTGGCTGGGGGTCTGTGGTCCCCTGCAGGGGGACAGCCGCATCCGGAGGGAGGCTCATTCTGTATTCTGCTCAGTCCTGAGGAGAGGAAACCAGGGCTCTCAGGGAAGCGGGGGTGGCTCCCCGTTGCTTAGCTAAGGGGCACTCAGTTGCCACGGTGACCTCTGTCTGCACAGTCAAACACACACACAACCCAGCCACTTCTCTCGGGCTGGAGGGTTCCCCGCCCCCATCAGAGTTCACACTGAGTGTTGAGTCCCTTGGTGACAAAAACATGGAAACGGTTGCCATGGCAGCCATTCTTTGGAGCCCTCAGACTGGAGTGCAAAGTTCAGGATGCCCAAGAACGGATGAAATGAAAATATGGGAAAATCTGCCACTTCCCTCACCCCAGGAGGATGCGTTGGATGGTGTTTCATGCTCCCCTGGGCCCAGCCATCCCTGCCCCTCCCATCACCCCGGGCCCAGGCGGGGAGAGGCCCTGGGAATGAAGGTGGCAAAGAGGCCCACAGAATCCTTGGGAGGAGTGGGCCAGCCTGGGAGGCCAGGCTGAACTGTGGGTGGGCCCAGTGCCTGCAGCTGTAATTGGGCAGGCGATGACCCCTAGGCACTGCCTGGGGACATGTCCTCCTGGTTGCTGAAGTCCCCGAGCCTGCTGTGACTCAGTTTCTCCATGTAATCTGGAGGGACAAGCGGCTGCCTCTTTCTCAGGGGGGACTCCCACCCACTCAGCTGCCAGGGTACTCCTCATCCTGGTCCAGGGGTGAAGGGTCCAGGGCATGCTCGGTGGGCTCAGCACCGAAGTCACCCTGTTCTGACCAAGGGGATGGGAATATGGCCCTGGGCAGACAGACCTGGCCCAGAGTGCTGGGGTGCAGTCAGTTCCTACAGAATTCTTCTAGTCTTCCTGGACACGAGTAGATGAGGGTCTGAGTCCATTAATGGAGGTCATGGCAGAGGCCTCTCCCTTTATCCATTGGACTGGGGAGAATGTGTCCCCCACCAGCAGTTCCCCAAGTAGGCCCCATGGGGCTCTGGTGACTGAAATGCACCAAGTGGGCACGTGTGCAACCCGCCCTCACCCCGACACACACAATTTATAGATTAAACTAGAGGCCCAGTGCACAACATTTGTGCGGGAGGGGTGGCGCAGGCGGATGTGTCCCTCAGCCCAGCCTGTGCCCTCTCACAGTCCGGGACCCCTTGGGGGATGTCCGACTGCCGGCTTAGCGGGGAGCGGGCCTAAGCTGGCAGTCGGACATCCCCTGAGGGGTCCTTAGCGCTGCCACGGAGGTGGGAAAGGCTCCCGCCACCACCACTGTGCTCGCCAGTCGTGAGCCCGGCTTCTGGCTAAGCAGCGCTCCCCCTGCAGGAGCACATTGACCACCGGGGGCAGCTCCTGTGTTGAGCATCTGCCTCCTGGTGGCCAGTGTGCATCATAGCGACTGGTCATTCTGCTGTTTGGTCAATTTGCATATTAGGGTTTTATTATTATAGGATGCTCTGAAAAGTCCTGCAATAAGGGAATTTCTTGACTTTAAGCCAGTATTTGAAAAATAAGCTTTTTCCTCTTTTTTTAAAAAGTATTTTCTAGTTTTAAAAAGTCTCTTAATATCCTGCAGAAATAACATTCGGTGACACTCACTAGGGCACTGGTTCTTGGTGTGATCATCAGCACGTGGGAATTTGTGAGAAATGCATATTCTCTTCCACCCCAGAAACTTGTGTTTTGATAAGCCCTTTGGGTTGAGAACCCATGTGCTAAGGGTGGACCATGGTGGTCTGTGAGGTCTGAAAGGTTGGCGACCGCAGTGCTAGAGAATTGGGAGGAAGGGGAATGGCCTGGAGGAGGTGAGAGGTGAAGGGAGGGAGGGAAGCATGGCAGGGATGGGGCGTGGGCAGCACAAGAACCCTGGACGCTGGGAGAGGTGCTGTGGCACCTTGAAGGGTGGGTTCAGGGTGCACTGCCCCTGAGCACTGAGCTCCCACCATGGTTTTCTGAGGCGTCAAGTGCGAGGTTGTGTGTCTGGAGGTGTCATGAGCTTGGTGCTAAGTGATTGGGGCCTTGGGAAATGCCTGGGGTACCCGTCCCCCTCCTACTCGCCAGCAAGGGGTATCCAGGTGCGCTGAAGGCACCTGCCCTGGGCAGATGGACTCTCTCTACCCGGAGTGCTGGGCGCGGGGGTCAGTTCCGTGATTTTCTTCTTTCCTTCCTCGACCCAAGAGGGGGCTTGTCCCCGAAGGCAGTGCTGGGTGGCTCCTTCAAAGCAGGCATGAGGTGAGGCTTGAAGCGATGGCCCTGGCCCAGGTATCAGGGGGTGGGCTGCCAGGTTAGCTTTGCCACCATCCACCCCTCCCCAGTGGGACGCCCGGTGCAGCCGCTTCCCAGCTCTGGGTGTCCTTTTCCTCCCCATCAAACAGGCTGCCCCACTGTCAGCCTCGGGGAGGGTCAGGCAGACGGGGCCCACCGGGCCACAGGAGCCGGGCGCACGGGCGGCAGCCCCCTGCCCCGCGCCCACCGCTCGCCTGTGCTTCCTTGCAGCCGTCCAGATCCACATCCTGAAGGCGGACAAGGCGGGGGACTGGTGGAAGTTCACCGTGAGCATCATCTCCGTGTACAAGCAGGGCGCGAGCCGCATTCGGCGCGGTGACCAGAGCCTGTGGATCCGCTCGCGGGACATCGCTTGCAAGTGCCCCAAGATCAAGCCCCTCAAGAAGTACCTGCTGCTGGGCAACGCGGAGGACTCGCCGGACCAGAGCGGCATCGTGGCCGACAAGAGCAGCCTGGTGATCCAGTGGCGGGACACGTGGGCGCGGCGGCTGCGCAAGTTCCAGCAGCGCGAGAAGAAGGGCAAGTGCAAGAAGGCCTAGCGCGGAGGCAGCGGGGCGGGCGGGCCTGGCGGCACCGCAGCTGCCCGGGGCCCAGAGGGCTTTCCCAGGTGGGGGGCGAGGGGCGGGGCTTCGGCGGGGGCGGGGCCTCGGCGGCGCCTCTCCTGGTGGCCCCGCCCCTCGCCCCACTCGGCGCGCCCCTGGCGGAGCCGCACGCGGGGAGGGGTGCAGGCCAGGCCAGGCCCTGGAGAAATGAGGACGAGACTTAGCTACCTCACGGGCTCCTTCCCGAGCAGGGACGCGCTTCCCTGGGGCCAGGCGGGTCGCCGCGGTGGGGTCAGGGCAGCCCGATCTGGGTCCCAGGGCCTGACACAGAACGCGCAGGTGGTGCCGCACCTGCGGCTGGCGTAGGGTTATGGAGAAGGGGACGTGAGGAGGAGAACTGTGAATTCTCAGGCCCCCAGTTGGGCCAGGGGCTGAGCGAGCCCGGCCAAACCATCACCCAAACGTAAAAGACTGAAAATCCCCCCCTTTTCCCTGACCCCTCTTTGTCACAGGACCCCCTGGTTGGGACAACTTGGGCCCCGTCTGAAGGGGCCAGACAGGCATTTGGGGGCAGCAGGGTTCCTTCCCCATGCAGGCGGTGGTCCGTTGCCACCTGCTGCACTGGTCCTCCCGGGTGGGGCGAAGCAGGAACCCTTGCTGGCCCCAACCCCACCCCCACCCCCACCCCCCGGGTTTAGGTGCAGCCCAGGATTCTGGCCCAGGCAGAGGGCTGTGGACCCAAAGACACCCCTGAGAAGCTCGAGCCGGGTGGTCATGCCTCACTGAGCTGCTTGCCCGAGGAGGCACTGGGAAGGCACAACCTCCCAGAGAGTTTCCTCTTTGGAAACTTGGAACCAGCCCCTTTATGACATTTTCCAGGGGAGGGGACGGGCTCGGGCTGGGTTTATGGCAGTGACACTATTTGTGTAATGACATCAGCTCCCACCAGGCCCCTCAGCAGTGTTTGCAGCTGGGAAGGGCCTGGATGGGTATGGAATGCAGGCTGCAAAGGCGGTCACCCCGGCTGGGGGAAGGGGCTGGCTGAGTCAGGACCGGGTCTGTTGGCTCAGCAGGGCACAGTGTGCCCGCGCCACGGGCAGGCAAGGCCAGGAATGACCAGGTTCGGGGAACCACGGGAACCATGACCACTTCCTGCTGCTGCCCTCACTCCTGGCTCCAAGGGGCAGCAGCTGCTGGGCCGAGAAAGCCTGCTGAGCTACCCAGCTGCCTGCACCTGCCTTGGACTACCGCAGGCAGAGCCTTGCCTACCCTTCCCGGCTGTCCCCTTTGTGCCCTCCCCTTTCCAAAGCTCAGAGACACTGCCTTCAAGCAGGCAGCCCCCACAGGGCCTGTTCCTATGCCCAGGGCCCACGGTCTCCCTTCCCGAGCTCTCGGCACCTGGCACAGAGTTAGCGGCCTGGCTTCCTCCTCACTCAGGACACTGGCTTCACTCTCCTTCGAGTTCGCCTGCTCAGAAGGGTCACACTGAGTGTGAAGGCCGCCCTGTGGTCCGGCCCGCGTCCGGGCTGCCGTGTAGCGAGCACCTGCCCTGTGCCTGGCACTTTACCCACACCCCCCCGTGGCCCTCACGACAGCCCCGTGAGACAGGGATCCTTGCCCATCTCACCAGTGGGGAAACGGAAGCACACGTGCCCAAGGCCACCAGGAAAAGCGGCAGAACTGGACTCGCAGTCCAGGGCCAGGCTTGCTGACCACGGCCCTGCTGCCCCGGCCCGCTGCGCACCAGCTCCCACAGCAGCTGCGAGGGGTGCTCCTGGGAGGTCGCCACGGAGACACGCCCTGGTGGCACCTGGCGAATGGAGTGTGTGGGGTGGGTGCAGTGACATCTTCAGAGGTGGAGCCGGGGTGGTGGGTGAGGCGCACAAACACAATTTGTAGGTTAAAGGCTCTGAAAGGGGCCTTGGCTGATCTAAGACACAGCAGAAAGGACATTTGGCTGCCTGGTTGGGGGTGGGGGTGTGTCTGGGGTGTGTGTGTGGAGGATTCCAGGAGAGACTGGTGGCAGAGGTGCCCCCGTCGGGGGGAGAGGACAGAATGGCCCTGGGGAGGGATATTTGTCTTCCCTGACTCCAGGTCCAAGACGGGAGCATAGGGACCGCTCTCCTAGCAGTGAGCCCTCTGACGCCAGCGCGGTTTGCCGAGTGCCATTAGCACCTCGCAGGCCTTGGCGTTTTGCTGGCCCACAGTCCTGTAAAGGCACTCGCTGCTTGGGCTGGTCCTGTTCTGTTTACACCGGTCTGGCTTCTCTGCCTGCCTGTCCACAAGGGTGTGGCAGCCCCGCCACCTCCCCCCTGGGTCTGAGTCACCCAGGTCCATCCGAAGGCCAGCACTGGTGGTCTCCGAGGCCCCCAGCTCTGGTGCCAGCAGCCTGCCAAGCAGTAATACATCTTGCTTTAAACTCAACCAGCCTCACCCTCCTGCTCTGCCCCTGAGGGCAAAGGCCACCCAATCCACCCAGCAGCCTGGCCCCTGGGCCACGTGTCAGGGCGGCCGGATTTGTCACCACAGGCCTCCGCACCTCACTGACCCAGCCGGAACCCAGCCCCCAACTTCAGCGGCGAGGACCCCTCCCAGAGGAAGCACCTCGTCCACCAGGAGGAGATGAATAGGAACTGAGGTGTGCCCGTTTGTACAGTTAGGAAGGGATGTAAAATGAACTAGATTTTGATTCTGAAGAGTGTATTAACCAGAATTGTGATATGTAGGTATTTGAAGAAAAACACCAGATTAGTCCTTTTTTGTTTTAAAAGATTCCCCACTTGTCCTTTTTCTTACCTGCTGGGTGGTCTGGAGCCCCTGACAGCGGAGTGGCTGCTTTACTGAGCATATAGTAAAGAGGACGGGGTGGAGGGAGGAGGACACGGGCTGCCCGGACTCACCTGCAGCCCTGCTTCTGTCCCGAGCAGGGCGGGAGGCAGCCCCGCAGGTCCTGAGAAATGGGCGGGAGGCTGTGAGCTGCCCCAGGCCCCCAGTGACCTGGAATTCCGTCTCCACAGTAGCGCGCAGGAAATGGGTATCGACTTTCTTGGGTTGGCCCCAGGTTGGAATGAGACCGAAATCGAGAAGATTCTGAGTGATCAGGAAATGATCCCCCCAGGAAACTGAAAAACATTGGGACCTCAATGCTCAAAGGAAGCGCCCCTATCACACCCCACGAGGGAGACAGAGTAGACCAACTAGACTCACCGGTGGGGTTCCTGGGCCACGGTTCACAGCCGCAGACATGCCATACCCAGGGGCATCACAGTGTGTACTCTGAGGCCTCGCCTCTGCCACCCCAGCCAGCCCACTCCTCCTCATTTGCCATCCCCCCCCCCCCTCCTGGGTGCACTACCCCCCACCCCCTGCGTTCCGGAATTCTGTTCACTCAGAATGGTAAATGTTTAGTTGTGACCATGACATTGGGTCAGTGCTCCTTTCCAATGCATACTAATATATTATGGTTATTATATATGAATATATTTAATGACATGGAAAAAGTTGTGGATTTTTTAAAGTTTTTTTTGTTTGTTTAGAGTTGTAATGGACCCAGATGGAACTTGTAACGTGGGCCCCACATGATAGAACTAAATGCAGATATCAATTAAATAAACTCTTGTACACTGTTCTCTGTCTCCCAGTCTTCACTGGTGGTCTGAGCTGGGGGGGGGGGGGGGGCATGCGGGAGGGGGAGGACGGCAGGTCTTTGTGCCATTTAAGGAACGTGGATTCTGTGCTAAGAACTCCCAGCAGGACAGCCACTGGGTTCCCAGAGCCTGGGACAGAGCTCCAACTACCACAAAGCAGATAAATAAAAAACAAAAAGGAGCCGAACTGGTCTGGCTCAGTGGATAGAGCGCCAGCCTGCGGACTGAAGGGTCCCAGGTTTGATTCCGGTCAAGGGCATGTACCTTGGTTTTGGGCACATCCCCAGTGGGGGGCGTGCAGGAGGCAGCTGATCGATCTCTCTCATCGATGTTCTGGCTCTCTATCCCTCTCCCTTCTTCTCTGTAAAAAAATCAAAAAAATATTTTTTAAAAAAGAAAATAAAACAAAAAAGAAAAGGCCGCTTTGCTGCGAAGTCCTGGGGCCAAAAGTCTCTCAAATGGGTTGAGCTGTATTTAACACTCTGAGTGCCAACCAATATCCTAGGAACTATGCTAAAATTGCCAAGGCATTTTTTCTGATTTTACAGCAGTTTAGAAAAAAAAATTATGAATCGCAAGTAAATGAAGTTACATATTCAAAAACTTAAGGAAACCTTTACTACATTGACGTATTTAGCAATATCATCATCACTAATAAAAGCAGACTTAGAACTGGATGCCATTTCGAAGCTTTGATAGCGCTCCCGGCACTTTAGGCAAAAGACAGGAGGAGCGCGATCACGCTCCCCAGCACTGTAGGGGTTAAGTTCCCCCAAACCATCCCTGGGATCCTTACCACTCCTTGGGGCTCCAGGTCTGGGCACTGCAGGGGCGGACACACAGGTACTCTCCCCACCTGATCCAAAACCTGCAAGCAGAGGCTTTGCCTCTCACAGAACATTTCCTGAAAGCCAAGAGGAGACTGGGGAGAAGACAGCAGGGTTAGTCAAACTCGGGAAACGTTTAGGGCCATTGCTCAAGGCTTTGTGCGGTGCAGGGCTGGGGCTGAGCTCACCGGGTTTCTGAGAAACTATATTTAAATCTCCAAATGGTTGTGATTTCTTTATTACACAAACAATCCAGCCATTAGGAACACGTTGTGTTGCTACGCAGCGTGGCCGATCGGCACCAGGAGGCTGTCATTTCTGCACCCGGCTGTTCTGTAGACAAGTCTCCGCCGTGGGGCTGGGCTGGCCCCTCAGCGCGCCGATTCCGCTGGCACCTGGGAGGTGTGGAGCCCGTGCCTGCTGCGTGGGGCGCTGGATGTGGTGCCCTCGCCTCTCCTCAGGAAGAAACAGGCCAGCCCAGCTCCTCACCGGGTCCGGCTGGGGACCAGGAACTGTTCTCGGAGCCAGGGGTCAGAGCCGGGGCAGCCCCAGACAGGGCTGGCCTTGCGTCCCGATCAGTCCCAGGAGTAAGTCCCTGCTGGAGCGGCACTTCCTGACCCTGGGTGGTCGGGGCGGAGGCAGGAAGAAAACCCGCACTTTCTGCAGAATCGGGCTCTTCCCAAGGCCAGTTGGGACCCAGCTGGGCCCTGCAGGGCTGAAGGCCGAGAGGCCGGGCCAGAGTTTGTGCTGCACTCGGAACTCTCCCAGCTCTGGTCATTCTGTTCACGGGCCCAGTCCTCCCGATGTGGCTGGTGCCTGTCCTTCCTAAAGACGCCGTCTATGATCGAGGGGCCTGTCCTTGGGGACACCTCCACTGCCGGGCCGTGTGCTGGCAGCTGCAGCCCGTCCCAGGCTGGAGGGAGACAGGCTGGTAAGGGACACACGGGAGCGTGATGGAAGCCGCCGCTGCCTCCGGCCTGCCTCACTCTCTACGGAGAGAGGGCATCGACAGAGGCCACGCTCACAGCAGGGCATAAGCTGGGTCGCTGCTAAGAGCTGGCCAGGTGGTCAGGAAAGTCCACGCTGGAGGCTGGAATGGTTAGGCACAAGGAAGCCGAGTGACCCCAGCAGGACTCGGGGCCCAGCGCAGTCCAGTCCAACGCCCAGAGCCTGCCGGGTGCAAGGCCTCCCAGGGCCCCTGTCAGAGACGCGCCCCTTCTTGAGGCCCGCCCCGCCCTTCCCAACATGCTGCCTCCTCATGGCAGACACACTCCTGGGTTTCAGACTTCGTTGCACAGACACCTCTTCTCTGCTCTTTTAAGACTAAATAAAGACGTAAGAAATACGCCAAGAAAAACTGGGAGTGGGCACCAAACAGCCAGTGAGAAACACAGCGCCGGACGGATGAACTCATCGCTTCATCAGACCGGAGGCTCACCGGACAGCAGCTCCCTTCTGCAAAGAGGTGACTTGGGAAGAAGTCAGAAGTACAGAGCAACGAGAGGAAAGGTGAATCCTGGCCCCCTTTTTTAAATAAAGGGGGGGGGACTCCACTCAACCCGGGGGGCTATTGACTAGATAAACGATGGTCTTCAGTCTTTGCCAAGAGCTCTCATGCCACCTGAAGCTGGAGCAGCAGGGTGAGGGCTCAGGGGAGCCGAGGAGAGGCAGGGAGGCTGGGGGGCAGGCTGAGGGTCGGGGCTCTGCTGGCCCAAGAGATCAGGGGCAGGCCGGCCTAGGGCTAATATAGACTAAGCTCAGCTACAGCTAATCAACTTTCAACGGAGCAGAAGTCCCCACTGTAACCAGCTATCTGGATTCCTTTATATGGTATCCAGACTGGAAATGCTTATAATTAATAACCAGTTAAGTTAAACAATACTTACACTGTTATTTCACTCAAGTCTATTTCCACTGAAAAAACGCCCGAGGTATGGGCGCCACATCCCGCCCTCGCCTTTCCTCTCTGCTCCGTGAGGTCTCGCTGCTCACAGGGCAGGCTCAGAGCAAGGCCACCCGGGCTGCGCTCCTGGCACCTGTGAGGGGAAGGGCAGGCCTTCCCAAACCCGGCCAGATAGTGCCGGGTTAGCTGTCACCCTAGAGTGGCTCCAGGCAACAGACCCCCAGAGTGATTGGGGAATGCCTCGCCACTTCGGGTCTGCCCTTCACTGCAGAGTGGGGTGGCTGTCTCCTGGGAGAAGTGCACCCCAAGAAAGCTACGTAAGGAGCAGGGAGCCATCCTGCCCAGCACGCCTACCTCTGGGCGCGCACTGCCTGAGTCTGGATGGCAGGTCCCTGCAGTCCGACCTGGCCAGGCTTCCACCCCTCATCCCCCCTGTCCCCCATCCCCTCCCCGCACCCCACCCCGCCTGCAGGTCCAGAGAAGCGAGGTTGCTGTCCGGGTCTCCGGGCTGCAGAGCTGGTGGGCCTCGAGCCCACTCCTCCCGAGAACAGAAGCTGTTGTGTGCAGACATCAGCTCAGTGTTTGGCTTGAAAGGGCCTTTCCGTGCGGCGGAGCCAGAACGCCGTGGCTCCGGTTCAAAGACGCCCACGAGTTGCCGGGCTCCGTGCTGAGCAAGTCAAGAGGAGGTGAGAAAGTCAAACAGACCTTCAATGCAGCCTCCCATGAGCCCCAAAGTGGGGGCTCCAAGGAGACACTGTTTACAGATTTGGGGTTTTGCACGACACACTGAAAGCCGTGGCTCTCAGATTCCTGATCTGCTGTGGGTGATCCATCGGCAACCACTCCGCTCCCCACCCCCCAGCAGAATGCACCCCTGGCCCCAGTCCAGCGCGGCTCCTCTCCTTCCGATCCTGCCCATCCCGAAGCACGCCTGCTCCCTTTCCTCTCCTGGGCTCTGCAATCCAGTTCCCCAACAGACGGCGTGGCTCACTCCTACCTGCCTCCGCTCCCAGCCCTCTCACCCCATCAGTCTGTCCACAGGGGTCAGGTGACGCCCTCGTGTGCAAAGGTGCCCACAGTATCGAGGAAACCCACCAACCATCCCCAGGACTCCCCCGCACAGGCCTGTCCTCTGCTTTGCCTCAGGGAAGTCTTGTGCTTTGGAACCTGCCCCATCACCAATGTGAATTCTTTCCCCTTTTGCCAGAGAGGGCCAAGCAAGGCTGACTGGCCCGGCCTGCTTTCTGCACAGGCAGGAGAGGGCAGGAGCTGGCCCTCTGCCCTGAGGGCCGGGGCTCTGCTGGCCCAAGAGGTCAGGAGCAGACCGGCTTGGGGCTAATAGAGACTAAGCTCAGCTACAGCTAATCAAGTTTCAACGGAGCAGAAACTTTAGGCTCTCCAGCCTCCTCTCACCTGGAGAACTCGCCAACACCCCCAGGGGCTGGATGGCCCGCAGGCCTGCTCCCCGTCTGCCCTTTTCCATGGGGGCAGTCACACGCTGGGTTGCCAGACCCAGGTTAGGAGCCGAATAAGGCCCCTGACTCCATACACCCGCCTTTCTTTGAACCCTAAACAGTGCTTCCCAGACGGACCTCTTCCCTCCCCACCACCTCATGCACCGGCCGCATTCTGGCTGCTGATCAAGTTGTTTCAGCCTTGGAAACGGTTACTGTCACCGCAGAAATGAGAGAAACTGTGCCTCTGGGTCTGAAGGCAGCTCCGCTGAGTCCAGAGAGGCTGCAGCAATGGCAGCACCACCAGGAGCGGCGCGCCTGGCGGGGACGTGGGCAGGGAGCTGGGTACACACTGACACCGCGCCTGTCAGCCCTCGCGCCACTCCCTCCGCCCCCCCCCCCTCCTCCCCAGCTGGACAACGCGGCCTTGACCGTTCGCTGATTTCCTACGTGGACACACGACCTCCTAGCAGACCAGACATTCCCGGTTACTCACTGCCTGTGCGCTCCGTACCATCCCCCAGGGCGCCCGCGCACTTTGGGGGGGGGTGGACTCCACTGTAGCCGTGGCAGCGCCCACTCGAGGAACCTTGGGCTGGCACAGAAACGACCAAGGCTGACGCGAGAGGGCCGCCCTGGGCCTCAGACTCCGTCGGCTCTGGGGCTGCCACGCAGTTTGCTTTGACCGAAGCCACGCACATGGAGAGTTCAGAGCTTTGAGGGGATTTATTGAGAGCAGCTTCCGTGTATCAAAAGGTGCTGAGCTTTTCTCCGTTGCCGGCAGGAGTCCAGCTGGT